TTATGTCCAGTTATTCTTTCCTTTTCTACTAATATTTTATGCTTTTAGAATGCCTCTCAAAAGCAGACCTTAGCTCCTTTATTTTTTCCCAGGCCTGGAGTTTGTCTCTTGAGGATTATTTTTTTTTAATAACCAAAACGCTCGACCTCCAAGTTCTTTAACACTTGCTCTGCTTTGACTTTTATCAGAACCCCCGTTTACCTGCTACCATTTATTCAGCTTGCTGAAGTTTTCCAATACAAGTAGGTTTTAAACTTGCTAAGGCTCTGCAATGCCCCTTTTCCAGTCCACAGTTGTGCCAGCAAGATCTTTCTGGAACAAAGTACTGTTTTCCAAGCATCCCTTTGACATGATGATTTCTGCTGATGGTTTTTTTTTCTCTGGAGGTCTGGAGAGATTCCTGTAAGTGAATACAAGTGATTTACAGATGTTGCCTATTGACTCATTGAATTGGGAAGCTTTCAGCAGGTGGAGAAAGCTTCAATTAATAAATAAAACATTAATAATTAGATGCATTTCACATAAATACGACTTTCTAAGTATTGTGGTGTTATGTAATGATGAGAGATGAGACTTCCTCATCATCAACAAGCCATGATCCTTGACTCTGTAGTTGTCTAAGAGAGAAGTTTTACCTGGACAGAGGATTTTCTCGGAGTTTTTTGAAGTTTCTATGGCCTGTTTGTTCAGGATTGTGCCCAGAATTCAAACTACGCCCAGCCCAGTCTGAGCAGATTCAAAGTCAGGCCCTGTTTGTTCTGTTCAGATTTGTGTTACATTGGCATTCTTTTCCCTACTCGAGGATTTCTCACTCTTTAGGGTTATGTTGGTGCTTTTAAAAGTGTAAAGTCTCTTCTGGTGGTGGATAAATGCTCCAGTCCTGACATATTGCTTAGGAAGAACTCGCTTCTCGCCTTCCTTGGTGGTGCCATCCTGTCACCACTTCTGTTGACTCTTGTTGCTTTACACAGCTTCAGCTGTAGTTTAAACAGGATCTTGGGTGTGTGTTGTGGAACTGCAGCATTTTTTTTTTTTTAATGGAAAATGACATAATTTGAATTTTCTTTTTTCAGTTTTAAGTATGCATAGGGTAAGAATGGATAATATGAGCATATAGTGCAAAATACTATGGATCATTTGGAACCTAACATTTAGGTCCTGTTTGTTGTGGAATGTCATCTCAAACCAAATTGTTATTCAGTATTATTTGTTTATTTTAGCTGTTTTATGAGGAGTTCCATTTTATAGTGCAAGGAAAACCTGTGTTGATGCTGCTGTAGAGTCTGTTATATTAGAATGTGCCAGCAAATGAATCAGTGTTGTGGAAACAAGAACCAGACATGTAAGGACTAGTTTTCTGGATATTTCTTTTCAGGAAATTTTCCTGCTACTTTTGGTTAATTTGTTTCCTAACGCATTATTTTTAGAGCTCTCATACAAATTAGACCTCTTTAACCCAAAACAAACCCTGTTGCTAACTTGATTTTTCTAGTGGCCTCTGAAGCCCCTGTTTTACCTAAATACCTCACAGATCTTGTGGTTTTACTTGCCTTCCCTGCGAGTAGCCCCAGGCTACGTTCCATGACTCAAATGGGATGCTGAGGATTTCTTGTGTTATTCTTTCTCTTAAATATTATTTCAGAATTGTGGTTAGTGTAGGTGTATTGGGGAGGAGGGAGAATCTGGGGTTTTTTTTGCAACTAGTTACTGTGTCTTAATTCCAGAATCAGTCACTACTGTAAGGAGGCTCCTAATAAAGCAGGAGGGGAATTCTGCAAACCTGGTTCTGCCTTTGCTTTGGTGAACACCTTCCTAGTTTACAGTTGTGTAACCTGGGTCAGCATTAGCCCCAACATGTGTGAAAATGTATTTTGATGTGGCCTAAAGACAAGAAGTGGTTTGTTAATAAGAGGCCTTCATGTTTGATTATTACAAGTCGTGTAGTTCAGTTTTTAAAACAAAATTAATACAAACAAATGGCAAAAAAGACCAAAAGAAACATGAAAAAAACCACCCCAAAAAACCCCCACTGTGTCCTAGTATAATAATCTCTTACTCATTACTTGCTGTAGATCCTGATTTTGAAATGCCAATAAAAAGTTCAAAGAATGTGGACTTAAATTCTTTTTCCATCCCACATGGACAGTTAATAACCATACTGAGGAGATTGCTTAAGCATTGCTGGTTATAGTTCAGATTAGCAGGACAGGCATAAAGGCAGTCTTAAATATTTTATTGCTAATTTGGCCTAACAAGGCACAAACATCTCTATCCCATTCTTGTAAACTCACATATTTTCCTAGAAGTTAAAACTGCCTTTAAAACACAGGGAGGACTCTTCTAAACAATATGTAACTACTCTGGTAAACGAAATCTTGGGCTTTTCGTTATCAAGGTGTTTATGCTAAGGCCAGGAATTGGGTTTATTTTTCATCTCATTTTAAGGGTCTGATTGTGGAAACTACTCCAAATGTTTCTCCACAAGGTATGATGGGGTTTGGAAGTTCTTTGAAGTAATTGTTCTGTATCAGCTCTCTGCCAGAGTGTTGTAGTTGCAGTGAGAAGCAGTAATGAGGGAGGATTTTTGAGGCAGTGTCTTACTATGCTGTGACTTCTTTTATTAAGGCACAGCCTATTTTTCACTTTTTATCTACATTTGATGAGGAGGAATGTTTTACTGTGTTTTCTGTAAACTTACCTTTGCCTAGTATTTGTTTACTTACTATAAAGCAGGATGAAGTGAGTATTTGGGGGTATATTTGGATATAATTGGCTTGGCAGATGCTGACCCCAATTTGAAGCAGATGTCTGGTTTAGAACTATATTTTTGCCAAATAGTTAATTAACCATCTGAAGTCTGGTGTAAGTTATCTTGATGAGAATTTTAAATGGTGCCTGTCCATTCGAATCAGCTGCTGTTTCAGCAAAAAAAACACAACTTATACAATTGCTGATTCAATTTTTCAATTTCCCAGCTTTGTAGTAATAAGTGAGTCATATGATGTTCTGTATTGGACAACTGTTACTTTTAAAAATAAATACAGAAACCTGCCCCCAAATGGTCTTGGTACAAATATAGTGAGATTGCAGATAATTCCCCCTCCCTCCTTTCCTTTCTCTTCCTTCTCCTTTTTGCTTTGGAAAGATATTTTTGCCACTCTGCTGTGACAGAGTTGTCGATTGAAGGTAGTTCACAGTCTCCCAGCTGCCAAGAAATTGGAAATCTTCAAAATTAAAGCATCCAACGAACATAATTCTAGCAGTGGGAGACAGAAAACTGGACTGGAATTAAGATTTTGATTCATCTTTTATGTCCTTTAATAGCAAAAGCAAATGGTTGTACAGTCTGCAAATAGTAAAAATCAAGTAAAATTTTCTTATCTACTTATGCAAGAAATTTAACTGGTCTTTTTGTTTATGAACAGTTCCTGAAAACGTGGAACAAAATGAAAAGATACATCTCATTCTATATATATAAAAAAAACCTCTTTATATTAAAAGAAACCAGAACAAAATTTAGAAGTGTATGTTGCATTTACTATGTCTGGTGTGTAGGTGCAGCTAGTGAGTATTGAATAGCACTAAAAGCAAGATCAAAATTACATCTGATAGGCTGTTTCCGTCATTGGTATTCACAATTGTAAGATCACACATATGAATCTTATACAAGAAGAGGATGCTTTGAAAATCAGCATCACTAAATTTACTTTAAGATGCCATTGTACGTCTTTAAGATGCAATTTAAGGGATCTGCTCTTCTGCTGCAGTTAGGAAAGGGCATTTTTTTTTAAAGACATTTTCAAGTGAAACCTTTGAAGTCACATTTGGATGTGCCCCTTCTTTCTTTGTACTACACTGATAGTAAAAGAATGTGAGAGACTGATATCCCAAGAGATGGAGGAACCTTGAAGCAGTAAAATGGCTGTACATTCTTTTTCTTTAATATAATTCTACGGTAAAGAAAAGGCTGGAGGGGGAGAAATAGAATATATATAGCAGCTGTTTTTAAGGTATTATGCTCTTCTGGATTAAAAAAAAAAAAAAAACAACAAAATTATTTGGGATAAGCTACCTGAGCCACTTTGAGTAAAAGTATTTAGTCCAAAACACTTTAAAGCCCTGAGAGAGCCAAGAAAAGCCCATGGTCGTTGATAAAAGGAATGCCCACAGTGGTGTGTGTGTGTGTGTGTGTGTATTTAAGTCATCAGGCTGCTGCTGTTCTTTCTAAGTATTCAGAGTTCTTAGTGATAGCCAGAAACACAATCACATGTTGCACACGCCCTGTTGGAGCCAAAGTGAATCTTTTATATATAAAAAAGGGCTTCTGGTTGTGTTTTATACTTGTGTGACAGGTTCAGCAAAGCTGAAGCGTTGCATTTTTGGCTGTCTGCTCTCGTATCTTGGCTTATGATTTTTTAAGGTTGAGACAAAACAAGATCTGGCCTTGTGTGCCTGTATTTCTTCCATAGTTCAATGTCTTTTTACACTGTAAAAGAATAAATTTTGCAGATACCCTGAGTTAAGCGATACAGACTTAAGTAAGGTACAGATGTCTGCATAGTCCCTGAAGATACCAACTTGTAAAGTCATGTAAAACCTAATCATCATTTGCTACCTTTGTGTGAGAATTACTGAGAAGTGTTTCATGGAAGAAAAAAAAATTGTGTCAGCCACATAAATGTAACATACAGTGGAATGGTGAGTTAAAGAACAGATGTACCAAATAGCATTGATTATTAAAAACAAGTTGTCATTAATGAAAAGGCAACCCTTTTTATGTTTGGATTCAATCAGAGTGGTGGACAAGCAGTTCTTTAGGTGCTACAAAATGTTAAACTAAGAAAGCCAACTGAACTTGTAGTCAGGTTCTAAACACTGTTTAAAGATTTTTGTTAAATGTGCTGCTATTTCCTGTTCATTGCATCATTCAGTGATATGTTACCATTTGCTGATGCTCCTCATCTACAATCCACTTTGCTAATACTGTTTTCCTCTTTCAGGAGTTTTATGAACACACAAAAACACTTTGGCAAGACGAAGGTGTGAAAGCCTGTTATGAGAGATCTAACGAGTATCAGCTGATTGATTGTGCACAGTAGTAAGTATTGCTTCCATTGGGCTGGAGGTGGTTTTGTTACTGGCTGATAGTGACTGAAATTTGCATGTCCTGATGGTTATTTTTCCACACCTTGGAAAAGGAGTGTCTGCTACACAGAGAATTCTTGGTAATCAGCTATTCAGAGAGGTGGGACAAACTGATGTTCAGGTAGTGTCTGTATTGGGAACCTTGCAGATGCTTTCAAATGGTCTTAATACAGGCTGACCCCTTTGTGAGGGGACAGTTGTATTGTCTCAAAGGCCAAATTTCCTGCCTCTCCCACCTCAGGTACTGCAGCAGGTTTCAGAAGTTGGAAAGTACATAAGTATGAAATGAGCCCATGTTTGTCACTTTTGTTTCTAGTGCAGTTTGTTTGCTCAAAAACAAAGAGATGGCAGCAGCAATCACGGGAGGCAGCCTGTGATCAGTCACCAAGACTGCTGCTTATGTGCCTTCCTGCACATATCTGAGAGGTTCATTCTCTTCTGGTATTTACACCACTGTGATAATTAGTATTGTCTTGAGACACTACTGCATGTTTGCAGTTACTTATCTCACACAGCAACATACTGTGGGTCAGAATTTTGTGGCAAAGTGCTTGTGATAATTGTGACCATTCCTGGTATTCTTCTTGTGTTATACTCGAGAATTGCAGGACTTATATATTTGGAATATTAATAGTTAAAAACATTATTTCTTAGTTTATACTCTCTACTTCTTTTGGAGAAGCTAAAGTAAGGTTTAATGCTCAAAGACATACAGGTTTCTCCTTTCTCATGATGATGGGCAACTGCAGTTTGTCTCATACTGCATCTCTTAAAGAGCATTTGATGAAATAAAATCTATAAGGTTCTTTTTTTGTTTGTTTGTTTAGGCAGACTTAAAGGTAAATCAACAATTAGCTCTGTTTGAAAAGAGACAAGAGAGATAATTTTACTATGACTTGCACAGCTCTCAGTCTGTAGGAGCCTCTTTGAAGTTTTGCCATTGTTTCCAGTGTGAATTTGTTTGATGTGCAGTGATGTCTTTTGCATTAGGTGACTAATGTTTGATCATTTGGCACGGAGGTTTTTGCAAGTTCAGTTGCTACAAAATAAAAAAAAATACTACAAGATTTTCATGTTTAGTCAACTATCCAGTAAATTTTGTGTTTCTAGCGTAAAGTTGATAGAAATGAGGAAAAGCTGGTTTTGTTTCTGGTTAGTGTTTGTTAATAGTTGACTTCTGTGCTGGGAAGAATTAAATATTGTTGAGCACTAAGAGGGTTTTGTGTTGCCCTTTCCTGAAAGAGGAACAAATTTTATTGTGCCCTGAAAGCACAGAAGAAGGCTAAAATTCTTATCATCTCTGGGCATTGACTTTTTCGTGGATCAGCAAGGGAAGTGGCCTTCATGATGGCTTTGCCGTCCTGCTCCATCTAGTGGAACACTTAATTCTACATCATGGGCTGTTGAGCCAAAAATAAACCTTGAACATTGCTGACAAATTAGATTTTTTTTCGGGGGAAAAAAAAAAAAAAGAGATGTAACAGTCTTGCAGAAGGAGTGTTCTAATTGTTAATTTTGGTAGTTCTTGTCCTTTCTGGCATTTTTGACCATGCAGTGGCATTGTTTTTAATAGCAGAAAATGCATAGTTAGGAGGTTTTTTTAATGACAAAATGCTGGCTTGGAGGATAACATCACTTTGAAGTGCTGAACTTGTTCTTATCACATTAAATTAAATTAAAAAAGGGACCTGACAAAAATTATTTCCTGAAATTAACCTGGTGAGCACACACAAAAATGTAGCAAAAGCAAAATATAAAATGTAGCTGAGATTCAGCAGGTAAGGACTATTTCAATTAGAATGTGCAAGCTGCCATTGTTAGAGCTAATAGAAGTTAAAAAAGAAAGTTGAGCAAATTGTTGGGCTTGTCAGCTCTTTCAGAGAGGAGCTTTGGGTTCTGAACACTATTCCCTTTTGAAGTCCCCGTTTAAAACAAGAAAAGCATACTGGAAATGGGAGATGGAAAAGTGGCTTTTCTCTTTCAAGATCAATCCAGTTCCAAAAATCCTTTCTTGCTCTTGAAAGTTGAATAAATTCTTAAATATTAATGGATTCTTTGTTCAGTGAATTGCTTTAAAATTCTAAACGTTTCTTGTTCACAAAAATTAACTTTTCAAAGTTGTTTGTAAAGAAATTTGATTTTTTTTTCAACTGTCATTCTTTGAAGTGTGAATTGCTTAGTGTAAAGTTTGTCTTGGTTCGGGCTCATTTAACATTCTGCATTTTTTAAATACGAACAGTTTTTTCACTGTTGTGACACAGTTATATATAGGAGGCTTTGCAAGGAGATTCTGCCAAGTGTTTAAAAATCAATTTTGCCTGTCTTTTAGCAGGGAACAGCGAGGAGGGTGTATCTTACAGGGCCTTGTTTGTCTTCCAGAAATGTCAATATCAGAAGGCAATTTGTTTCTGTTTCTGCCCCACCTGCACGAAATGTGTGCAGAGCTTGGGGGATCCTGGAGAGCTCGGGGGCTGCTCTGTCCTCAGGGAGGGGGCACATCCCAGGGCTCCTGTGGCAACTGTTCCAGGCAGCCTCCTGCCTGCTGAGCTTTGGGAAGTGGCACGAGTCCCTTCCTTCCTGTTTCCTTCTTTCTTAGTGGGGTGAGGGGGGCACTGAGGTACAGGGAAGGCCATTACCTTGTTCCCTTTTGTCTGTCATTGCTGCTTTCACAATTCTGCTTTTCATGGATAGAAGCTGATTCTCCATGGGGGCGGTTGAGCTGCAGTCCAAGAGAAGGTCTTTTCAGAGTTCAGGGCTCGATGGCACAGCTGCAGGACGCTGGAGCATCGGGAAAATGAAGATGTTTGGGGGATGGCGGCTCAAACATCTGCGGAGTGCATGCTGAGGAGAGAAGGGAACTTTCTGGTGGGTCAGGAGCTCTCCTGGGTGGACATAGAGCAAGGGCAAAGCCTCTTTTTGCTGCACATTCGTGCCCAAGAAAGTGGGAACAAATATTCTCAACCTAATGTGCTGTATCTCCCTAACACAAATGTAGATGTTCAGAGTCTGGAAATCGTACTTGTCACCTGTTGCTGAGCAGTAACTTTAAATACCGCAATGCTCCCTGCTGGATCACTACGGCTCTGTGTCTCCCCATAAGAAGTGACCTTTAATAAACACTCTTTTCGTTGCTGTGCTGAGTTCCTGGTTGTGGTGGCTCAGAAAAGACCGAAAGCCACAGGTACCTTCCCATTTCCCTGCAGTTGGGATCTTTGGAGGTGTGAAGCTGGAAGGCCCAGCCAGTAACCTCATCTGCTGGAGAGCCCTTCTGGTATCCTGCCCTTTATCCTCAAGCTCGCTGGCTAAATGAAAATGTCACTTTGGAGGAGCCCTGTTCATTTTGAAAGAGTAGCTGCCTCTGCTCATCATGAGCTTTACTGTACTTCCTGCCGAGGCATATTTGACAGTCTTGAGAGGCAGAGAAAGCAAAGGCAGCTTGTTTCCCTTTTCTTAACTGGACTTACCAAGTAATTAGTTTCATTTCTGCTTTTAGAACAATGTGGTCTGTGAGGTTGTCCGCAGTTTGTCTCTGAGAGGAATGTATTCTGTGAGGAGAGAGCATTATCTATGAGGAAGGCAAATTTCATTGCTCTTGCATCTTGCAGGGATTTACACGGAGGACAAGGAGTGTTCGTGCTGAAGCTGCCATGTGATCCTGCTCTTGGCTAATAATAAACAGAGGAGCACAGAAGTGTCTAGAATACAGAAAATCCCAAACGATGCTAAATTATTTACCATCCTTCATATTTCTCCCCTAAAGGAGAGGATTGCATTTTATTTAAAATGTATTACTTAATATCAGAAATATAGGAGCCATTCCCACTGTGATGTGCCAAGACCTGTTTGACAAATCTGTGCCTTCTGTCAAATACGAGCAAACTTGATCTCTTTGAAGTGCTGTCATTGCTAATACTTCTACCTCAGGTTTCATTTGAGGAGCTGTGGTCTTAAAGACTCACAAATACACAGCAAGAGTAGTCAGAGAACGATCTTTCCCATAGGCATGCGCTGTTTGTGGCAGGAGGACATGAAGGATTGACATCGTCCTGGAAGGTCTGACCCCGAAGTCTGCGGATAGCCTGAAGAAACTTGCTTTGATGTCAGTAGCAAATCAAAAGCAAACCCTGGGTACATGAGCCTTCTGCTGCTTTTCCTAGAGTTGCTAATATTAGGCTGTGCCCACAGATCCTTGAATTTTTGCTTTAGCAGCCTTGGCCACTAATTTGAATTCGTGCTTCGTTTCACGCCATGCTTTCTCTGCGTACATATCTCCTCGCCAGCACTTCCTGGTTTTGGCTGGGGTGGAAAAGGAAATAGTGTGAGAGACAGTCTTTGCAACCCATTTCACACCCTCTGATATCAGGAAGGGCTGGAAGTAGCATGAGGGAGCCCATTCTCACGCTATTTCCTGCCTCCAGCTCTTCTCCTGCCGCTGCCATTTCGGGAAGGAGAAGGCGCGGGGCGGTGGCTGCTCGAGGTGCAGAGCTGCGGTTCTCCGACTTCAGCACCAGCAGAGCCTCTCTGATACCTTGAAACTCTGCCAGGCTGCTCCAGAAGGGTTTTATGAGAAGTATTTTTTAAGATGTTTGTTTTTAAAATACTTATCAAAGAAAGGAGGGGAGTGCAGCTATTAACCGACTGCTGTGCGGGGCTGCTGAAGGATCAGCGCGTGTGGACACGCTGGTTTTTTTAATTTCTAATGTGTTATGAATTGTAAATTCTTTATATTTTTATTAAGATTTATGGTGTGTTTTATTTCTGGATTTGCAGACTTGTAGAGAGCAATTAAGAGCCCCGATCTGAGCACTTAATGATTTTCTTCCACGTTGATTTCACTTCATGACAAAGTTCCCTTCATGGAACGTGTAGTAAAGTGTGTTTGCTCAAAGTCTCACCTTTTTAAATAGTGGCTGATTTATCAGGGGTACTACTGTTAGTCTAGTTTCTTATTCA